GGCTGAGGTTAAACCACGACAAGGGGACAAGCTACCAGGAATTCCCAGTCCTTTGAGGCCCTCCGATTGATGACAACAAAACAGATATATATCAGTGGGAGGACACTGAAGATCTCTTCAAGCTCTATGAAAAGAATCTGCATGATTTCCCAAAGGACCATTTCCCAGTTTTAGGATATGGCTAAATTTATATCCACTAGGACTTACAAGCATAAAATAGAGATTGCAATGGAAGCAATTCAGTTTGGTGTACATTTGAATAAGAGTGATATGGTCACCTAGATATCTTCCTTACCATCTCAACTTCAGTATAATATTTTCCTCAGTGGCACAGAAAAGGGAGAGAGAAGACGTAAGGATAACATAAGGAGAAGGTAGCACCATTCTCAGTTTTCTCCTGTGAAAGCAAATGAGTGTAAGAAATTGGCCAGAGAGATGGCAGTTACATACTTTGATTTGGAATATGTTAGTTCATTGAAAGGAGGAAAAAAAATCACGAAGACAACTCAGGCAGCAGGCAAATTTCTGGCAGCAGGCAGACAACGTGGAGGCCTCAGGGCTGAAGCATCCACACTAGGACTTCTCAGGATCTCATATTTCCCCTGAGATCTGATTCTCAGATAATGTATAAAGTCTGAGGTCATCTTCCAAATAATGGATGGACAAAATTTTGTCATTTTCTGCAAGACAGAGATAATATTCTCCATTTTCCACCTGACCTTATGCTAGTCCCTTCTCAGGATTTCTGATGAACAATAAAAGTGTGGGAAGCAATACAGGGATCATCTTCACTACTTTTTTTAATAGCAAAATAAGGGTACATTCAGCTTACAACCAGGCATGCATTTTGCTGCCAAGGACACCATCATAGGTAATAAATACTCTGCAATAAAGGAGACAGTACTTAGGGCAATCGTGGTGCATGTAGCAGGCTGGAGCCTTGTGTTTTTTCTTCTTACCTAAGATTTTTCAGGGCAAACAAATCTGGAAATCTCTTTTCCACAGTAAAGAGAAGTGAAGGTACAGTTTATGCATTAATTTTGGATAAACTATTGCTTTAGTCTCACCGTTTGTGCTTTTCTGTGTCTTAAATTCTGGACCCACATTTAGTCACCTCTAAGTGCAAATGAGGGATTTTAGAAGTAAACTCTTCTCACTACACTGCTTTCTCATGCATAGCCTCAGCAAACTATTCAGTCCAACCTATGCACATAGAAATTAATTTCCTTGAAGAGCATTAAGATGTAGGTAGTTGGCCAGGTAAAGAGAACTATGAACATGGAACAAGAAGTACATTTAGAACCTTTCCTGAGTTCTGGAAAGTCTGGAGGAGTAACAGGAAAAAGGCAGGCTGTAATCCATGAACTTGACACAAAAGGCACAAGACACAGCTCTTGAGCACACTAATTATCAACCAAAGAATCAGCCCTTCTCCCAGAGTTTCAGTTAAGTTTGATGACAACCAATAAAGAAAACAGATTTGGTTCCTGGTAACGTTTATCAGTTTTTCTTATCTCTAGACTCTTTTGACAAACTTTGATTCCCTCTCTTGCCCATGGCAACACCATCTGCAAATGTCACTTATTGGAAGGGAAAAGAAGGGGAAAGAGAGAGCCACAGCATTTCATAATACATATTTAAAATGCAGCAGCTCTGAAATACTTCCCTTCAGGTTTTGTTTCGAAAGAAACTGTGGCTATTAACCTTATTTCCTTTACTGTTGATTTAGCATTCAGACACAGGACTGAAATGTCTAATTTCACTCTGCCTTCTGCCAAAAATTCTTGATGGACAAGCTAGTTATTACATCTTTTCCTAGCCCCTGTGAGTGTAATTTATCAGAACAGTTGCTCCTCTTTTGTCCAGTGACAAAGACGAAAGCACTACATACCTTGCATAGCCTCCTATTTCAGTGGAAACCAGCATTTAAAGTATTACACCCTAGAGCCCAAAAGAGATGAAAGCTTCGTGGAAGATAGTTCTTTCTTTATATGCAAGACCCCTGTTGAAATCTGTATTTCACTGAGGCTGCTGTTATAACCCAGGAAAACAAGCTGGCATCACCCCTAACTGCAGAAGAATGTGTGAAAGATTAATAGAACAAAAACAAAAAAGGAGTCATTAAAACACCTGGAAGATAAAATGCTTGAAAATATCCCCCAAAATTTCCTTGAGACAAGACAGTGATTGAGCCATAAATCAAAGCTTTTCTTCTTCAGGGGATGTTTAGGGGAAAGTTTGTTACTATGTGCATCTAAAGAACTGTAGCTTTTACACTAATGGGGAGAAGCAGCTAACTGATCACTGCCCTCAGTTATTTCAACTGCACTCCTTTTTTCCTTCCAGCAAGCCCTGTCTTTAACAAAATCAACATGAATAGAATATGGTTTTAATGACAGCTTTCATTTGATTAACTTTTAGCTTTTCCTATGTAACATTTGCATTGCTGAAAAAATAAAACAGTGGATTGTGTTGGATGAATAGATTCAATTGTTTCTTTTTCAAAAATAACTTTCACCAGCAGATAAATATTCATGTTACAGAGTCTTTGTAGAGCATCACAGAAGTTATTCAAGGCCAAAACCTCTGGTTAATTACATACTCCTCAGTGATTATACACAAGAAACAATGACTGCGAAACAGACTGTCCAGCAAGTATTTGCTTTGAAGTCTGCACACGCACAAAAAAATCTATGCCATTCATTGCATTAGGAAATTTTGAAATCTATCAGGTTTCACTCTATCTATTAGTTCTGTCACTCCGTCATTTTCATCTAAATGTGCCTGTGGTTTGCAATAAGTAGTGGGATGAAAATATTTATAATAAACAACAAGAAAAATAATACCTAACACCAGACCAAAAATAGTTAAGATGCTCGCAATTGTAAAACATATTTCCTTGATAACGGAAGGTTTCCAGAACACATATACAAACAAAATACCTAGAGTTACAACAGTGTGAGTAGCATAATAAATGGAAATGCAAACTTTTGTTCTTCTCCCCTTTATGTTAAAAAATGTAAAAATTAGAATTATTCCAACAATAGTTCTGTATAGGTATTCCATCTTCATAGATTTGCAAAATGTTGTGTGTTGTTTCAAAGTCCAGGCGAAGCCACAGATCCAAAGAAATATCAGCAGAATTGCAGAAATTCTAACACTTAATAGAGTGACCAGCAAAATACTGAGTATCCAAGAAGAGATGGTAAGCAGTTTATAGAGAAGATATATGAACTTGGAAGGCTCACGAAATTTATCTTTGTCAGGCAGAGATTTTCGTAATGATATCTGATAATCAACCATTGAAACAGAGATACCACAAAGAGACATCATAGCGGCAGCATCTAAACAAAACACAAGGGAAAATGTTAAACTGGAGGAAAAAGTTACTTATTTTACATAATAAGTTCCGAATGAAGTTTTGGACAAGTTTATGCTTTCTTAACACTTTCATTATCCCAGTTTTATATTTACTCTGTTCTGGAACAAGTCACCTTAATTTTAAGGCTCACTTTAGTTACCTATATCTAGGTATCTAATGCTGTTTGGTATGCCTATGTTATCATGCCCAGCCTCTGATTCTTAATGGCCTGTGTGCCTTATTTGCCATCTCCATACACAGGTGATAGAAATTTCCGAAGTATTGCAAATAGGTCTTAAAAATTAAAGCAACTGATATTGAGTCTGGGGTGTCTAAAATGTAGAAATCTATAACTACGGCTTGACCTTTTGCATAGTCATAGCTAAGATGAGATACATCTGACCATTTTGTCTGAGTACTTATTGACTTCATGGACTATTAAGGAACACTAGACAGCTGTGCAGTCTCTCCATTTGATTAGATAAATTCCAACTCCAACTAAGTCAATGTCTTGCCAATAATCTTGCTAGTTTTAGAGCTGGAAATAGTACAGCTCCTCTCTTGCTTCTGAGATTTGAACCAGTATCTCTTCATCATACTGCATTCTACATGCTGAGGTATCCTAAGTTTCATTTCTGACTCTGTCCCTCACCTGTAACATGGGTGATGGTAGTGACAGCTCACAGGGCTGCTTTAAATACATAACTGATTTCCAGATGCCCAGCTAGCAGTTTTAAAAGAAACTGTAAGCAAAACCTCACAAATCAAACTGCTCAGCAAATTCAATGCTAATTGTATTCAATAGCTTATTTTCAAGTGATGTATCATTATGCTTCTGTTAGATTATTATGACTTGTTATAATGAAATATTCCTTCTCAATGATGTAGCAGAATGGACCATCTACTAGACAGAAATTCCAATCAAATGCAGAGTAGTTATGCACTGGAATGTATGTTTTCCAAGGTTTGTGTAAAATGTTGTCAAATCACGAGTGATGTTTTTAGGTAAGATATTCAACCTGAAAATCATGTAGAAAGACAGACTCACATTTATAGAAATTATCTTTGCCACATTCCATGAGGGTGTAAATCTGGACAAAAAGTTGTGGTGTAGTCTCAAGAAAAGTCTTGAACACCTTGAGCATGTTAATATCAGTCATTGTATCAATCGCTTGTTTTTTAATTAAGTTGGGAGGGTATGTTCCTGATGCATCCGTGCTGCTCTTCTGTTTAAATGCAGCTTGGTAGCCATATTTCAAAGCAAACCAATACCTGTTAACAAAGGGCACTTGATTAGACAGCAGTTTTTAGAAGAGCAACTCAATAAAATGACAACAACTCTTCCCATTTCATTTTCCCTTCACATTTTTCTCTGAATGTAATCCAGCACCTTCTACTAAGGTAAATTTTTGTCTGATAGATGTCTGTTATCAGTGATAGCAGATAATCATTTAAGCCCAGCAATACTGATGCAATATAAAAACAGAATGAGTCTTGCATGAATAAAGATTACAAGCTTTATCTTGCTAAGTTCTTATTTCTTTAAAAGTACTGCATATCTGAAAATTCCCTTAGCATCTCTCCTCAGCCTCTCTTTCAGATACTAATTCACTCTGTATCCTTTTGAGGGTATTAGTGAATATCCACATCTATATAATATAGATTCATAAGCCCCAAGTATAATATTTGATGAATTGCAAACATATAACAGACTTTTTAAAAAAAATCACTACAGAGTTATTTTCTAAATACTCAGGAAGACTTTCATTTCAGAAAACAATTTTCAAGACACATGCATTCCTGGGTTGACAGATTCTACTAATGACCTGAGTGGGTTTACATGAAGAAGCTATTTGCCTTGGCAAATGAGTGCACCTGATTGACTTTTAGAAGAGTTCTGGTTTATTTTTAATTAAGTCCAAACAACTACTGCCTCTAAAAGAGCAGTAAATGCAAAGATACATGGAATTAGTCAGTCATGACTGGTGTACATTCTGTGTACATTCTCTGTCCAGGATATCCCTAATGCTTTGTTTGGAGACAAATAAAACCTAGCTCTTACTCCCATTTTCAGGACTTTTACTTCAGGCCTGGAGGTGCACATAGTACCTTAGAGGGTAAAGAATGCTTATGTTTTAATCAAAAGCCATTTTGATAATCAAGGGAGGGACCAGCTGCTGTCCATGGTTGTCTTTACAGTTGTGTTTAGGAAAACAGTATGGTGGCTACAACCTGATGGACCAGAACTCCAACTGCTGGAAATTATAGCATTTCTTCTGCCCCTAATGGACTCACACACAGAGACACAAAGCCCTGGTGAGTGATCTGATCCATTGGGTCATGACTGCTTTGGAAGCCAAGGAAGGTAGGCAGTGCTCTTTTCTATAATAAATTAAAGGGAACAATTGCAGAAGAAGGGATTTGCACAGCTAAAGACCTCTTTCCAGTTGAACCGTTCAGCAGCAAAGACTCTTTTGGAACCAGTAAACAAATGAAAGCAGAGAGAAGCATCCTCATCAGTATGCATGTAAATCCTGTCTTGAAGGAAAGTAATGCTTGACTTCAAGTGGTCATTAACACTGTCTGGGCAGATTGTAGACTAAGCCTGGTAACTCTGCAGCACCACAACAGGCACTGTCATCGTGGGTAACAAATGAGGCTTGCCAGGCTTGCTCTGTTTGAAATTTTCTTGACCTGTCTGTGATTTTGTATTACTTGTCTTAGATTGGATTTTCTGCAGAAAAATTGGTGATTTCTTGCGATTGACCACGTGGCTAATTTGTTTTACTTTTTTTCCCATTTTTGTGTGATGTTTGCTGAATTTTATTCAGATAACAGTAGCAAGCAGGTATTATATATTGAATGAGATATTTATGACATACATGATGATTTAGGATAGAGAAATCTAGTCCTGGTATGATAGCAGAGGTCCCGAGATACGGAAATACAGTGTAGATTAGTACATGCCTAGGATAAGGGATGGCTTGACACTGGAGACTCCATAGCTATAAACAACTCACCAATAGTCAGTTATAGAAATACAGGCCTGGAGCTGGACAAAACTAGTTTTAGACGTAAGAAAGAGAACAATAAATTGTATCTAACATGCATAAAAGGCACCATAGATGTTACGTTTGGATCTAACATGAAGCTGCAAAGAAGTGAAGAGAAAGCAAAGTCTAAAACTGTGCAAAGTCACAAAAAAGACCCAAAGTGGACCCTAAGAGTGAAGATCAAGAAACCATCCGTACAAACACCATAGATCCTTCCAGCAAGACTCCAGATTCTAGTAACACATAACCTCACCATGCACCAGAATGAAACTGCTGAAAACCTTAAGACCCAGAAGAGTAGAAAAAAAGGTGAGCAAAACACATGGAAAAAAAGCGATAGGAACTAAGAAGTAAGTATGTAACAATTTTAACTGCATTATTATTACTTAAGATTTTTATGCATGGAAGTATTCTTTCTGTTCCTGTAATAAATAGATCTAGACTAATATTGATTCCTGGAATCAACTGTTAGGATTTCACTTAATACTAAGTTCTTGGTGTTATAGGTATGTAAATCCATGTGTTTGCCCATAAACAGGATTTCAATCATAGCAGCCTTCATACATCACTTGAAAGCCTATTTCTGCATATTTAGTTCCCAGATGTCTCAAGCTTCCAATATTCTTCTCCAATTAATCCATTTTGACTATAACTAGCAGTCTTTTTTTAAGAACATTCACAGTTGTTCAGCCAATTTTTTCTAGCATTAGAAACACTATTAAAGGCTTTCCCCCTCAAAAGAATAATATAGTTTAGTAATTAGATTATGGCTATTGTATTCTTAATTCATTTACTTTCTTGAGAAATTAAGCAGAACACCACAGACCATCACTTAGTTTTCTTACACACTTGTACAAGCCTGCTAACATGCAGGCTGAGAAAGGCAAGGTCCAACGCCTTACCTTGCGTCCTACTTTCATTCTCTAAGGCTGCATTTGAGATGATTTCAAGATTCATGCTGAAATGCAGGTTCCCAATTCCCTGATGGTCCACAGGAACATTCACACTACAGACCCCATGAAACCTATGCCGTTGCATTTCCCATAAATAGAGAACAGAGGGCAGCAGATCATTAACCACCCAGATCTCACCAGATCATCTCATCCCAATATTGCACTGGAGCACAGTCCCCTTCTGCTTACAAAGGGAGCTAGGAAGAATTCCTGGTGCCTCCAGGTGTTAAAAGTTTAACACCTTCACCACCTTTAAAGATCAAATACTTTGACCACAGGGGAGACAGTGCCAGGGTTTCTTCCACAGCTACAAGTGAAACAGCAGGGATTGGCAGCTCTTGGGTTAGGTGCATGCTAGAGGTTTCACAACTTATTCCCTGATATGTTAAAGCATGTTGACCATACAAGTGAGAATTGCAGCAAGGAAGGATGAGTAATAGTAGGTGTGGTGCAGGTATGCTACCACTGAAGAGCCTTAGGGGAAAATCCTTTACTCTTCTCCTTGCAGAAACTCACAGACTGCAGCCCTTCCATCCAGGCCATACGTTGATTCCGTGAGCTGGCTCTAGTTCCAATAGTTGGTCCCATAGGAAACTCTTTTCTACTTTTATGTTTTTGTGCATTTATCTTTCTGTTCTCTGAATAATTGCTCATAAGCAAAGAATTGAAGTCTTTGGCAAGGCATCTGTAGCTTTTTCTCCTTTATAGAACCATTAGTATTCCAAAACATCTGTTTCTTGCATCCAAGATGTAAACATCTGGAAAGTTTGCAATGTTTTCAAGAAAAAACAATTGGGTAGACTGATCTGTTAGTTGTCCATTAACTCTTTCACCAGAGCTTGTGTTTGTCCAAGCAGCAAGAAGTGGAAACCAGCTGCACAAATTTTGAGCTGCAGAGCTCACAGCTGTGAAGGCAGGTGATATGCAAGACAAGACCCAGATATGTTGTAAAAGGAATATTTCAGCTGGATACACACCTGAAATCACTTGCCAGTTTTCAAAACGCATTCATTCTGAGCATGGTATACTAGGTTTATATTGTTATGAGATGGTACATTTTAATATTTTTCACTAGTTGTAGCTGTTTAGGTGAGTCCACTTCTAACTTTGAATACTATATAGTGTACATTATTTTTTTCTAGAAAAGTTCAAATACTTCTATTGCTTTTTGACTATGTATCAAGCAAGGTGGTGTTCTCTGAGCTTATGTCACTTACTGCAGTTCACTATGACAAATTGTTCATCTTTTAAGAGTGTTTTGAGCTTACACTCCCATTCTCATCTACCCATTTGGCATGCAATATTAGAACATTTTAGGAAGGGCTCATAGCCAACTTTTAGGCCTAGCGTTGGACAACCTCATTCCCAGCCAAGGGCAAAGTTCAGTCTGTACTAAAGGGTAGGCCAGACCCAAGTTTTCTCTTTTATCATGCCCACAGCTCACCAAAACCCTGTGCCTGCTCTGAACCTGTCAGTTATATTCCTACAGTCTGTTTTCCTATAATTTATCTATTGTTATAGAAGTTCTGTGCTTCAGTGTTCACAAAATGTAAAAAATCTTTTAAAAAGGTACTTCAAGTAGAATAAAAATACATTAATTAAAAGTATTGGTTAGTTACATATTTTAAGTAGAGGTACATCTTAAACTGAAGGTGGAATGGGTATGTCAATAATACAAACAATTGCAGGTTTGCCATTTACTTTTTCTCCTCTAAATTCATTAAAGAGGATCTGTTTTTCATTAATCCAAGGTATATAAGCTACCTGAAAGCCAACAGAGTAAAAAAACCCACAATTTCTTTACAACTGGAATTGTCATTTGTGAACGGTAAAGAATTAACACACATATTCACTTTGACAGGAGAAAAAATAAGGTTTCTGCCTTTGTAGTGTTGCTTTGTGGAGAACACAGATGATAGGGCTCCTGCTTATTATAAACACTCATGGAAACACAGCTCCACCATTCCTGTGTTTTTGAGATGCTCCTACATTTTCATCATCATTTCGTAAGGGATGAAGTTTACTCCTGATCTCCTGTAAAATTAGGAAAGTTTTGTCTCTGACCGGGAATTCAAAGAGGTGACAGCTATTTGGTTTTATTGCTTCACAGCTTCACAGCCTTCATATGTGACAGGCAAGCTGCCTTGCCAATGTTTCCATATCACATGCTTCCCCTCAGATCTCCACTGAGGACTTTGCAACACAATCCCAGTATTACACTACACATCCCATCTCATCAAACTACACGGATGAAGGTGTGGGTGATATTTAGAAATCCATACAGGCAGAGTGTGAGTGGCCTGGCACTAATGATCTGTCTAAATTTTGGTCATCTAGTCACAGCTTTCAGCATTGTATAAACCCTTAATCCAAGGAAAATTATTCTCTGCTGCATGCTGAACTTCACCTTCTAAGTATCAATTCACTAAATTGGATTCATTAAATCCATTAAACTGATGCAACTAATACTTAGGTCAGTAAATTTATATTAAAAAATGCAATCAAGCACATAGAATAATAGAATCATTTATGTTAGAAAAGACTTAAGATCATTGAGTCTGACCATTGTTCTAGCACTACTAAATCCATCACTATATCATGTCCCTAAGCGCCACATGTACATGTCTTTTAAATACCTCCAGGGATGGAGATGCCATCACTTTCCCAGGCAGCCTGTTCCAATGCTTGTCAACCCTTTTAGTGAAGAAATTTTTCCTAATATCCAATATAAACCTTCCTTGTGCAAGCTGAGGCCGGTTCCTGTCATCCTGTCACTTGTTACTTGAGACAAGAAACCAACCCTCACCTTGCTGCAACCTGCTTTCAGCTGTAGAGAGTGATAAGATTTTGACACTGGGTGTAGGGCAACTTAACCTCAGTGACACCTCCAAGGTAGATAAAGCATCGTTTTCATTATTATTTGGTTCCACTTGCAGAGCCTCAAACCTATTATGCCAGGACACTTGTGAAGGTGGAATAGTCACAGAGGAGACACACGTGCTGCACTAGGCAAGAACTTGTTGTCATTGCCCCCTAACCTTAAGTCATTTTGCTCAGGCAGGTGAGGAGAGAGAATTGTCTGTATCATGCATCCTGTCTGCCTGTTGAGCCTATCTCAGGGAAGGCAGGGTGTGATTACAGCACTCTCCATCCCTGTGTCTGTCTCTCTCTCGATCCCTGATACTCCTCAACCTACTCACCTCCTCCCAGCTCTCTGTCACTAAGCAGAGGAGTTCCTTTACTGGGTGCACCTCCCACAGATGTGCTCACTGCTGCTGGCCACCACTGCATGAGAGCAGGACCCACCCTGCAGCCCAGCATCAGGTTTTAAATGAACATCAACTATCTTGGCTTTTTTTTTTTTCTCACTGCCTTTTAAAAACATGTAATGAAACAATTGCAGGCTCACCAAAGCACTCACATTTACTCTGATGCCCCATGGATTTAGAAGTAATCTTTACAAATATGCAAAAAAATAATTTTCATCTGCTCCTGTTCCAAGATGCAGGGCATCCTGAGCCCACCTTTAAGCACTGAGAGACACAATAGCAGCTGCCAGTATCACAATGGCTGCTGCCTGTATGGCCTTCTATTCTGACAGAAAAGGTTATGAATTGCTGAAATTTTGTCCCCCACAGGTGTGTCCTTGACTGATGCTGCAAACTGCTACACATCAGACAGCTCCAGAATTCATATGGTGCCCTAGGGAAATGTCCCATTTTCCCACACTCCCTGACTTTGCTATTGTCTTAACATTGTCTGTTATGTCACAGTCTGTTCTTGATTCTACCAACATCTGTGTGAGCCACTTAGATTGGTCAGGCTGAAAATAATTTCAGTTGGCTTTGTGAATATATACTTTATCAACTTAATTTTGTCTTCTTGCAGAGAATAACATTTCATATGAAATATAATTTCAGGTATACATTCTTTCCATTAAAACAAACTAAAGCCTTATTAGATATGAAATAATTTTAATTTCATTTTTCTCTATTTTTATATTTTATAAATATACACACTTAAGTGTATACACACATATTATTTTCATATTTATTACTTAGCCTTGGCAGTGTGATAAGATAACCACAATGATTCTCATTATGCCATGCACTGTGAAAACATGACAAAATTTCAGCACCTATAGGATATCAGTTTGTAAGTCACCAGTTCCAGTACTTAAAGGGAGCCTAAAATAAAGCTACAAAACAGGGAGACTACAAAAAAAGACCGAGACTTTGTACAAGGGCATGTAGTGATGGGACAAGGGGCAATGGCTTCAAACTGAAAGCCGGTAGGGTAAGATTGCATATTAGGAAGAAATTCTTTACTGTGAGGGTGGTGAGGCCCTGGTACACTGCAACAGAAAACACACAAACAAGCCACAACAGAAAAGTTGTGGCTACCTTATTCCTTGCAGGATTCAAGGCTAGGTTGGATGGGACTTTGAGCAACCTGGTCCAGTGCAAGCTGTCCCTGCACATGGAAGAGGGGCTAGAACTTTCCAAATCAAACCATTCTATGAGTCTAAGTTCCCTGGTACAAAGATGGAGCAAGAAGTATTAAAGGCATATGAGAGGGGGAAGAAGGCAAGAAAGAAAGGAATAAACTAAGGAAGATAATTTTGTAAGGTGTATTCACATCTCTTAAATTCAAGCACCCTAAATTCACTGGCCAAGACATATTTATTGGTTAGGCCCCAATTTGCTCTGTAGTGAATAAAAAATACAGGTTCCTGCTGCAAATGACCAACTGGAAAAGCTCACCTTAACAATTATGACCTGACTCCTGGCAGAATCTATTTTTATCCATTGCCTGTAGAGATAAACCTGAGAGACTCATTGTCTAAATTAACTGCATAAATCAGATGACTAAGAGGGAGGGCAGGAAGGAGTTGTACCTTGATACACCTAAGAAAACACATATAATAAAAAGTATATAATAGTTGATCATAAAGGTTCAAGCCTGAATGCCAGCTTGCTCTTACCAGTTTACACTTGACAGTATGCATTGTGACACTACTGAATTGTGAGGACTGGCCAAAAGAACTTTGTAATTTATACGTATCATCTTGGAAGTTTTCCAAGTGTAAGTTACCAGAAAGATATCATTTTCTTTAATTGGCCTTAATTTCCTTTGGAAGAAACAAACTCAGAGGGGCAAGCTTGTACATCACGAGCACAAGAATGGCGCTTGAAGCCACACCTGAAGATGAAAACCCTTGGCAACAGACAAAAAGGAGAGTGTCACAGTGGGCCACCAGATACACCCTCTAAAAGCAGAACCTGGTAGACTCCCTGTGGCCAGGTCTCAGTGCACCTCACATGAACCAACCCATATCCATGGATCCAGTTAGTCAATAACAAATAAACTGATAAACTGAAAAGGGGTTTTCTTTTTCTGCACAGTATAGTATTTCTACTTCTTTTAATACCTGACGCCAGAAAAATTAAACCTGTCAGTAAATACTCCACCACAAAGTCTAAAATTTCAGGCTTGTAAGAGAAGGATTAATAATTAAAATTTTGGACTTGTTGCTACATCTTTCACCTCAGTTTTAAAATGGGAATAAAATCTTGGCATAAATGATCTCTATAATGATAATTTTATAGGAAAGCCACCAGAGAATGTTAGGCATATGGTATCTTAAAATATTTATGGACATGTACCTTTCAGCAAACAAAGATTCCTGTCACCATCAGCTCAGACCCTGCAGGAAGTACTGCTGCAGGCGTTCTTACTAACTGTTCCGCTATTCATTACTCTTCTGAATCTCAGAGGTTTCTCTACATACGGTTAGAGTCTAAGGTTCAAAATTTATCTCCTACAAGTTCAGCTGGCTCAGCTGCTTGTCATGCTTAACATCACTTTGAAAACTCTTATTTATCAGTTAAAGCAGCATTGCACTGTAAAGCAAGCATTTTTAATAAATATGGCCCATCAAAAGGCTGATTAATCAAATAGAACTGGGTTGTGAATGACAAAAGATATTACTTACAGGTAAATGAAGAAGGTCTATGTGTCCATCAAAACCTGACAAAATTTCCCCCTCACATAAGGAAGCAACAATTGTTAAGGCCAGAACTGCTCTTGTCCCCAAAGCCATACTAAGCATTTCTTAATAACTGTCTTAAAATAATATGATTTCTCATTTTAAAATAAATTTTAAAATGTGCTTACCTTATAAAAATTCCGCACTGAAAGAGATGAACTAGACGAATCCATTTCAGCTTCCCAGTATCAGGTCCTTCCCAGTCATTTTTAAACCACTCATAACTGAATATCTGAGTTACTAATGATGAAAGACCTCTGAAACACAGTATCGATATACTCCAAGAATATTGTCCTTGACAGAAATATTTACTAGCTACCCAAAAGTCCACTCCAATATCAATTACATAAATTATAAATCCAACAACTAAAAAAAAAAAAGTAGCCTTAGTAAATGTCATCATGCACTAAATTGCCACTGTTGTCACGCTCTCCTCACTTCACGTAAAGGAACCTAAATGCTTTCCTACAATGGAGTCTTTTTCCTGATGATTCCACCTGCTCATAGTGCTTTATACAAAGGAAAATTAGGTTATGCATTTTTATTACAGCTAAGGGGCTTATATTTTTCTGTGTTCTTGATTTAATTATCAAATTAACTTCATTGATACACATCTATTCTGGAAAAGATAAATGTAAATTGTCTTTTAGTTGGTGGAGTCATTCTTCGTTACTGGTTCCTAAAAAGAAGAAAAAAGGAAGATTAGCAGCAACACTATTTTCATCATTTAAAGTATCATACAGTGATTCTCACAAACCTTTAAACAGGCTAGTACAAAATGTAGAATGTACTGAGATATCAGTGAACAAGCAGGCTGAGAGAGCTGCACCTCTGAACCTGCTGAGGTCAACCACTTTCCCAACCACTGATTCTCCACTCAAGCAGCCGTTGACATAATTCCTAACAGTTGCAAAACATGAAGAAGCAAGCTTACCTCTACCAGTTTTTTTAAATAGTTAATGGAAAATAAGATTGATTCCTTCTCAGAAACTTCTTAACTTCTGAGCTCTTCTCCCTTACTGTACACAGCATTGAGAAACATTGAGAAAACTTCCGTCTTGAGCACACACCGTCGTATCAGAGTACACATCGTTATGCAATTTCCAACTGTGTTGTTTTATGCGCATATGTCTAGTGGTTTTATCACTCCTATTTGCTTTTCCATATGCAGCAAGAAAGCTCTGATTAGGATTGCAGCTCTCCTGTTGAAGAGGCTTGTAAGGAGCCAGACCTGCACCAGTTTATACCACTGTAAGAAACGTCTGCTAAGCTGTGTGAGTAGCAGCTACACACAGATGATCTAACCACATAGTCTACTACAAATAGAATTAATTCGCAGCCTGAACTACATTTACATTGCCCAACACTGCAAGGATTCTTGTGACCTCTTTGAGTAGTCCTTACACATCTTTTCTCTGTAGATCTGTGGTATTTGCCAGGTGAAACAGAGAAGCTAGAAGGCAGTATAGGCTCTATCGCATTCATGTTCACCTCTGCAAAGCTATAAAAGTTAAAATGACAAAATGCCTTATTTTGCTTGCATATCTTAGGAAAAAAATCTGCTGACAGCAATCCCAAAGGATGGGATGCAGGACATGCCAAAGCACTGAGTTTGGGCTGGTGCCTGCACCAAACAGCAGCAGACAATACACAGGGAACAGCTGTACCAGGGAACTTGGAGCAGGGGTAGGGCATGTGAAGGCAGGTCCCTTTGGATTTTTGTGAATTCAGGCACACTGCCACAGAGGAATGAAATGATAGAATTGGTTAATAACCCATGAACAGAGGTAATGACTACTCTTTGCTTGTGTTGACTCGGCTCATCTATGCTGTGACCCAGGTACAAATGCAAAAAAGAGAACTTAAGCTCTTAATTTGCTAATGAAGACAAGTGGGAACCTAACACCTGAAAAGGTGCTGAGTGTCTAAACATTATTTTTTTTTATCTAGGCCTTAGCTATTTCTAGCCTCTCATTCTATCTCCTACTTAGGTTTCATGTCCTGGCCCAGAAGAGGTTAGAAAGACCAGGTGATCTTACAGCTGGAATAGCTGGAATCCTTTCTCTGTCGTTCTGATCCCCTCCAATAAAATACCACTAATCTCTTTCAAATCACTACCTCAATGTATATCCATTTCACAGTTAGATCCTAGGAAGTGGACTTCAGCACAAAGTCCAGCATAAACTGAACTTTGTGTTTACAAACACAAAAGGATAAGTTAATCATGAGCCAGCAATGTGTCTGTGTGGCCAAGAAGGCCAATGGCATCCTGGGGTGCACTATGAAGTGTGTGGCCAGCAGGTTGAGGGAGGTTGTTCTCCCCCTCTACGCTGCCCTGGTGAGGCTGCATCCAGAGTACTGTGTCCAGTTCTGAGCTCCCCAGTTCAAGAAAGGCAAGGAACTACTGGCGAGGGTCCAGCAGAGTGTTACAAAGATGGTTAGGGGACTGGACCATCCCTCTTATGAGGACAGGATGAGGGAGCTGGACCTGTTCAGACTGATGAAGAGAACACTAAGAGGGGATCTTATCAATGCATACAAATATCTGAAGGCCAGGTGTCAAGTGGATGGGGCCAGACTCTTTTCAGTGGTGTCCAGCAACAGAACAAGGGGCAACAAGCACAAACTGAAACACAGGAAGTTCCATCTAAATATAAACAAAAATTTTGAGGGCAACAGAGCACTAGAACAGGTTGCACAGAGAAGTTGGGGAGTCTCCTTTTCTGTTGATATTCAAAACCCTTCTGGACTGCGATCCTGTTCAACCTGCTCCAGGTGAACCTGCTTTGGCATGGGGGTTGGATTAGGTGATCTCCAGAGGCACCTTCCAACCATGACTCTTCTGTGATTCTTTGAAATGTTTTATATCTGAAAACTTGTGTAGGAACCAACTTAAGAGTTTATTGCTAGGGTTCATTCCAGAAAATACCAAAGAAAACTGTATTTACTCTATATGACACCATGTCGCTCTGCACTTTTACTTAAAACCAAAACGAAAACAGAAAAACAATCAAAAATAAGCCCCAAACCCAAACAGGTTCACTATTTGACTGTCGCAGGAAGAACAGCAGTAAAATGTTAGTCAATATGTGGATTCAAACAGAAAGTTCTTTGGAAGGCAATTTATGACCAAGGTAGGCAGTATACCAAGGTTCACATTAAATGAATAATGCTGTACCAGACATTTGAGTGGAAAGGTGTAGCCTCTAATTTTGCACCTGAAATTAATAAAAAAATGTAACTGGATTCGTTCCTCTTTACAGCCTCCCTATCCTTTTGTATCTGAGCACATAGACAAATATAAGAAAGCAAGTTTTACAGGCTATGTCCAGACCTCTATGAAACAACAGCACGAAGAGTAGCTGTGGGCCAGCTGATTTCTACTTCTGACACACCTAGTGTCCAAACTGCTGCCATGCTGGCACTCTGCAGACCTGTCTGGACATCTTGGTGGCATAGGAAGCTACCAGGTAAGATGAGATAAATGCAGAGCCACACGTTATCAAGCATGTGAGCTTGCTCCCTATTTCATAACTATCTTGAATAAGGAATCTAGTCATGAAAGAGCCTTGGAATGGCATAGGGTTTACATTTTCCTCACAGCAATCTAAAAAAGGTTCTACCAAAGACTCACAAATTTGTATTCATGAACGTGAGATGTCTTCATTCCAAGCCCAATCACCAATTCCTGCTCACTTGTGCACATGAAATCACTGCTGAATATCTCAGCCTTTAATATCCCCTATATTTTATGCATGATAGCACTCCAAAGAGCACCATGGTCTCGTGTACCAGGCAGGATTAAATTAAGTGCCACAGAAGAGAGTGTCTTGTGTCACTCAGAATTATATTGTTCCCAGTCTTATTAAAACTATGAAATCTAACAGGACAGGAGCAAGAAGAATAAAGGGTCTGTCAGTCAACATAAATATAAGCCTGCTCTAAAATCTAACATATGTTTACAGAATAATTTTGTGATAAAGCAGAAACAATAAAATGTGATTAGCAAGGCCTTCCTTTCTCATTAAACATGTAAAATTCTATTTAAAATGCAGAGTTACCTTAATACTGCTCATGGATAGAGATTTTTTTCACTTCAAAAAATTGTAGATTTGGATATTTGCAGGTTTCCCATCCATACCATTACAAGACTTGCAATTCAAGGAAAGTTAAAGGGCTTACTGATAAAACACAAAGTGAAACTCAAATCATATGGAAACCATGTGACACAGTTAATGATTAGCTACCTGTAAAGAACTGTCATTCTTATGAATATATTATAGAAATCCTATTCTAAAAATTTGATTTAGAAGTCCCCTAGTTAGTAGTAAGTTTAGTTAATACTAGTTAAATACTAAATTAATACTAATTTAATAGGTATAAAATTCCCTTCAATAAATTAATTTGCCACTTTACTCCATAAAAGTAGAAAAATAAAAGTACCACTCTCTATGTTTCTGTATATGTATATGTATGTTCAAACTTTGGCTTTAGTTTCCTAGACCTATTGAGCAAAAGCCAATAGATATTTCTGGAAACATACACATATATATGTATGTGTATTTATATATTTGCTTATATATATAATTTATTTATTTGTATACTCATGTATATATCACAAATATTTATGCAAAATGTTTTGGCTATAGTTGAAACCTGTAGTACAACGCACTTCAAAAACATGCACAGAAAGCTTTTCTGTGCAATGATACATGAAGTGACAAGTGATTAAAATTGTTTTCCTCTGGTTGAAGTACAGGTGTTTACAAGAACCTGCTCCAGCTGAGCTATCAGCACTCAACATCCAATTTTTACATGCTTAAAAGAGCTGCAGGGTACAAGGCACAGGTGTTGTGATTCTGCCTTTGTGACTGTGCTGCACACGATGATGCACAACCTCAATCAGAGCAGTCTATAGCTTTTCCAGCTCTCAGAACAGGAGGTACAATCCTATCAGTGAACATATTATCAGTGCTTGCCTTTTCTTGTGTGCCTTCCTGCTTCCCTCTTGTAGGTTAGAAACATCCTAAACATAAGCAGCCTTAGCAGTGCTTGAAGTACCATCATTTTCATGTCATCACTTGAAGATCAGAATCAACAGATCAAGTTAATTTTCCAAAGCTAAATAAAGATTATCTTCATCCAAAGCAGTACTGCAGAATTCCTGGTTCATTCCTGTAAGAAAACACATTGAGAAGAAAACCTTATGACATCAGAGAGGCAGTGCAGTAGCCATAGCAGCTTTCTGAATAAATGCAGCAGAGGTCTTTCTGCCTGTGCAAAATCATCTCAGAGATGATTCAAAGATAACAGGCCTGCTGCATGCATGCCCAACAAGCTCTTCATAATGTCTGTGAGCAACATGAATGCACTAATTAAAAATATAGCTGTACATTGGTCCAC